AGTAACCGTTCATACATCGATCGAAAACCCAATTTCAAATATACCAAAACCGAAAGATCAATAAACACTTTCAAAAATCAAATTATTATCACTTCAGGTGATACAGAAAAAATGTAGTGTAAGCAAGAAATTTTTTTCGAAAATTATCGTTTATACATAACTGTTTTGAATAAAGATCCAGTCAAAACAAACCTATGCCATTTTTTCTAAAAATGACTTGCTAAAAGTAAAAGATTCTACAGTCACTGTGCAAAATCTCTTTAAACAATCATGATGATGATGGATGACATTATAACCCTACAAGATCAAAACGAAAAACTCGAAATGTATCACGCCACAAAAAAAATGTCATAGAGGCATTAACGAAATGAAAATGGCCCTTTCCATGAAATTCTATTGGCCAAAAATGGGCGTTGATATAGAAAATTATATTATTATTTGCGAAACCTGCCTGAAGAATAAATATGATAGAAATCCCCCAGTAATAAAATTTAATTTAACACCAACAAGTTATAAACCATTTGAATATGTTCACTTAGACACTTTTGAAATATCAAATGAAAGTTTTTTAACCATCATTGACTCATTTTCCAGATATGCACAAGCATACCCGGTGAAAGGTGTCACAGGAATTTCTATTACCGAAAACTTCCTAAACTTTATAACTCATCACGGTTTACCTCTTAAAGTAAGGGTAGACTCAGGAACAGAATTCAAAAAATAAAGAATTCGAGGATTTTTGCAAATTATATAAAATTGAACTTCATTTTACCACTCGAAAAAATAGTAATTCTAATTCCCCTGTAGAAAGGTTTCATTCAACTTTAATTGAAACTTTACATGTTTAAAAGAAAAGAATAAAGCTTTCTCAGCAGACCAGTTAATTAACCGTGTCGTACTTGGATATAATAACTCTATACATAGTGTAACAAAATACACACCATTCGAAATAATTAAAGGTCATATAAACAACACCGATCTTTTTAATCTAAGCGACCACGTGTTGATATCAAACTACGTACAGTTACATAACGAAAGTACAAAAAAGCTCTATTAGCAGATTCAAGAGAGAAATGAAAAGACCAAAGAGAAAATTATTTCAAAAATTAACGAGAATAGATCTGACCCTCCAAGTTTTGAAAACTAAAATACAGCCCACATTAAAATAAAAGCTCGTAATAAAAATGTTCCAAAATTTAAGAAAGTTCCAATAATTGGCGAAAATACACTTAAAATTTTCACTAAAAAGGGTTCCTATCATAAAGGTACAGCAAGAAAACCAAAAATTAAAACAAGATCTGTTTTACAGGATAAGCAAGATGCAGATAACACTGGTCCTATTCCCAATAATCCTGGACCTTCTCATTCTTAGTAAGGGCACGTAAGGGTAATGACGTTCAAATAACGACTATCAAAAACGCTGTGCTTTCTATAAAATTAGGGAATGCAAAACTTATTTATACAGTGCCCGCGGAAAAGTCTGCAACATATGGGAAATTTTTTTATGCTCATCCTTACTTCAAATCGGTTTTCGGCATTAGTTTCTGCATGACTGAAAACCAAAAAAACACCTGAAATTTTTGACTCGAGACTTGCCTCCCACCTGTCAAATGCCATTTGAAAATTTCAAACAAGGAAAAGTGGCATTTTTATTAAAAATATGAAAAAATTTTATAAGAACATATTGTTCCAAATCACATTTATAGTCCAATTTGATATTTTTGCTTTGAAAAAAAAAGATTTTTATTTTTTTATTTTTTTCGAATATCTACGGAAAAATAATATTTTTTTACTACTAACCTGAGAAATAGACATTATTCAATCTATTTTTCTAAGAAAAAAATTGAATTTCTCTCCCTAGGTTAATAATGAAAATAATGAAAAAATACCTAGGTCAATAATGAAAATAAAGTCATGACGCAAGGATATTGTCATGTTTCTATTGGTTCAATTTCAATTTTATACGTCAATTTGAAAAAAAATTCAGGTTTCTGTAGGTACATAGGAAGTTATATAAGCTGTTGATAGAGGGCAGCACTTTCAAGAGGGCGTTCACAAAAAATAATTAGAACACAGATTTTAAACAAATTTTTTATTTTCTACTAGCAGTAGTAAAAAAAATTCTATATATTCCTCGGTAGAGAAAGTCATTATATACCTCAAGCATTATAAAAGCTTTCGGCATATAATGATCAACTTCTCTACCTAGGTATATAATATACTATTTTAGGATTTCTTTCGCGATCATTCCTCTAAAATAATTAGTTTGTATCTGACTAATGGTTTTTTAAATCTTAATAATCTAATTAAGAGTTTAAACATCAAAAAGAAATGGGTCAGTTAAGTTAGCCCACCCCAAAAAAAATTTCTGGATGAAAATTATCCCATAATTTTGCTCTCATTTTGCTCCATTTTGCTCCACTAATTTCGATTTTTGCTCCATTACAGTGGAGAGACTATGTGGCCTATTAGGTGGGGGGGGGGGGGTGAATTAACGCTAGCCCCCCCCCCAGTGAAAATTCAGAAATTTGATCATGCTCATTTTGTTCTCCGAGTTTTGCTCCATTTTGCTCCACTATCGGCGAGTTTTGCTCCATTACCAGGAGAGACCTACAGAGCTTCCATTTTCTCATCAGTTAAAAATAAACATACATTTATTCACTACATAGATTTAGCACCTATAATTAATCAATTATAGTCTAGGAGGCAGTGACGATTTTCGGCACTTATTTTCCCAGTCAGGCAACATGGATAGAATTGTAGGGCTAGTCATTCTAAGCAAAATTCATATATTTTCAGGGGGGGGGGGGTTTTCCGATGGGTTGAGGCGCAAAATGCGTCAGAGCTTACGAATGCACAGCCCTGTTTTTTCCAGTGATAAAAATAGTTCTACTAATGGGAAGTATACTGAAGTTACGTACAAAAATAGTCCGGCTAATCTGTGAGTATGGATAATACGTCTGGCAAGTGAAAATTGAAGATCCGAAAAATTTCAGCCAGACTCCTATCTGAAATAAGCCAAATTGCTATTTTCATATACCTACTTTATGTTCTCTTGTAGTGAATGTGAAATATTTATGACTGGGAAAATAAGTGTACTTGTATTTTTCATTGATATTGTGAACCCATCCGAAAATTTTTGCGAAACTCAAATATTCTTGTTTTGTATCACCAAGAGAACAAACTATTCAATATATACCAACTGGGAAAATAAGTGCTAAAAAATGTCACTGCCTCTGGACTATTAGAAAATATTCAAACTTATTTTAGAAATATCAATAATCGCTTTAGTAAAGTAGTTGATCATTCTACGTATAATGGCTAATTCAAAAGTTCACTCCTACACACTGAATATCTAATAAGTAATATTGAAAGTTAGGTACAAAACAGAACAGAAAATCTTATTAATAGTTATAACAATACTATTTTCACACTTAGTGAAAATCAACGAAAACTTGAACAAAATATTAAGATTGTTGAACAAACTCTTGATAATAAAATTAATAATTTAAATAATTTTATTATTCTTCAAAATGTTTTATTTCAAATCAATTTAGATTGTCAAAATCTAATTAATTTTGTGGATAATCTAGAGGACGCGAAATTATTTGCGAAATTAAATGCTTTACATAACTCTATAATATCGAGCTCTGAGTTGGAGGACATGATAGGTTATTTAAAGAATATCTATACCGAAGAGGAGGTTCTAAATTTCAAAAATATTCTGAATTATTATCAAATTTTGGGTACATAAGTTAGTTTTTCTCAATCAAAAATTACTTTTGCTATTCATGTACCTATTGTACCATATTCCTTCCAACATTTATTTCCTATAATCTAAAAAACCCATATGATCGTTCCAAAATACCCCTACATGGCCCGTGCAAACAAGGAGATCCAGTTTGAAGACAGTGATTGTCCTTTACTTGAAGAAACATACTACTGCAATGAGCTTATACACCCTCAAGATGATTGTATCATTGAGGTTCTAGACGGGCGAGAAACAAATTCCTGCCAAATTCTGAAAATTCACCTACAAGAATCAATAATAGAACAAATCACTACCAAAGAAATCCTAATGATTCCACACGAAATGCAACGCATATTAGCAACATGCAAAATGGACCAATATATTGACCTAGATTAGCCAACATTAGTGAAAACTCCAAAAGAATGCTATATATTCAAATTGGATCCAAGAACGTGGAAACCAACATGGTAAACCACTCATCCTACCAGAATTATTTATCACTAATTTCACAACAACAACAAAAATGCTCGAAACCCAAAATCTAAGTCAAATCAACTTTGAAGAAATCTACAAGCTAAAAGATATGGCAAAGCAACTATCTGCAGTTCAAGAAATCGGGAACGGATCAAGCCTCTTCGATAATAATTGGTGTCCTAGCCGTATGTCTACTGGTCATCATAATCATCGTAACACTTCAAAGAAGAATAATTGCCATTGCCAAATATTTCAAGAAGAAGCCGAAATCCGACCGTAAGCCGACAGAATAGATTGCCTTAGAAAATACCAGGGATGGGAGGAGTTACATTGTAGCTACAAAGTATACTCATCACGAATCCCATGGAACCTGCCGACGCAAGATGTTTCCCATCGCCAGGCACGTGGACCAGCTCAGCACAAATTAAAATATAAATATACCTTAGTTTAAGATTATAATTTCATTCCATATTGTTTTGCTCTTAAGATAACTTGTAACTATTGAAAATAAACTTTTTAAAAAACAGACTTTTTTTGGTTATCGACGTAATTTGCGTTACATTGTTAGTATAATTAGTTAGAGTTTTTAAATAATGAATGAGTATTAAACTTACAACTTACTCAACCCGAAACCACTACAGCCACAGGTCATCAAGCAAGAAGTTAACTATAGAAAACTTCCCCCAAGGAAAATACACCAAAAAGATATTATTTCTTCATCAAAGACTTATGAAAAATTAAATTTGAAAGGTCTCTGTAAAATATAGTTACTCACAGTGTTACTTTATTGGAAGCAATTTGTGCATAATCCCGTGCAGTACCATGTTGTTGATTGTTAAAACATTCTCTTGCTTGGCACAAGCACGTTTCTCCTAGGCCTTTTAACGCAGGAACATAATCGCTATTTTTTGCTAAAATATTTTCAAAATCTTCTTTAGCTTCAACATATTCACCCAGAATCTACAAACAAAATAAGTGAATAAATCTGTTCAATCTAATGATAAAACATTTACTTTTCTAATATATGCAACTTGCAAAGCAGAATATAAAGAAAACCCACTCAAATCTGAAGCTTTTTGATAACATTTTAAGGAAGATGTAAAAGCCCCTTTTGCGAAATATGCATCGGCCAAAGATTCCCAGCAATGTCTGAAATAAAATTTAAAATAAAAGAACTCTTGAATAATATCACACTTACATATTTTCAGGTTCCCGTCGTAAAACAACCCTTAAATATTCCATTGCTTTCACAGGGTCTCCTTGTTCTAAATATGTCAAACCCAATTGCAACCATGCCCATATATTTGTATTATCTACAGTACCTTGAGTAAGGCTTGTTAGTAATGTTAAATTGGCTTCCTAATAATAGGAAAATCATATATAAAAATATTGTCTAAATTATTTCATTTTTATTTACCCAATTTTTTTGTTTCCGATACATTTTACTCAATTCACTGCCAGCTTCTGCAGAAAGTGAGTTTAATTTAAAGGCTTTTTCATAGCAACGTCTTGCCTTATCATTTTGTCCAAATTTGTTGTAGTATTGGCCCAAATATATGAAGCACATGTGGTTATTGGGGTCGCATTTCGCAGCCTAAAATAACAGAAAATTCAACCATACTTTATTTAAAAAAATTAATAAATTACCTTCAAAAATGGTTCCAAAGACTTACTAAACTCTTCCAAATCCCAATAAAATAAACCAACTTCGATCCACCATTCAGTAAAGTTGCAAACAGATTTTTCAATTAATTCTCTAGCTTTTGTGAAATTTCTTTGTTTATTATAAAGACAAAATTTGAAATATTCTGCCATATTTTGGTCAAGTGATTTTAATTCAGATATATTTATTTCAGCCTCTGTCAAACGATCTAAATTTAAATAAATTTTTATAATAGCTGGTAAACATTTTGATTTCTTGAAATCCTAAAACAATCATTTGCTTTTTTACTGCAAATGTATAAAAAAATATATACAACCTTGTCACTGAATATTTCCATAGCTTTTTCCCAATCCTCTCTTTCAGTTGATAAAGCTAGCAAATTTACTTCTTGATGATTAAGTTTCTCCTGCATAAAACCCGGTTCACTTAATGGCTTAACTAATTTTTGGGTTTTAAGATGGGCAATTGTGGCTTCTTGCCTTAAATTGAGCCTAATTAATACATCTGTTAAAAGTATCCAAGCATAAACTAAACCAGGCCGTTGGGTAGTCACTGAAATAAGCCAAATTTACTTTTACAAAACCCCAATTCACACCAGAGTACCTTCTAAAAGTTTTTCCCTGGCCAACAAAGCATTATTAGAACTAAACAAAAGTACTGCTTCAGTGAATATTCCCATAGCATTCTTGGGATCCAATTCTAAAAGTTTCTTCACATATTCTGCAATATCACACACAACTTTTGGATCTTCTTCAATAAAGGCTTGATTAAAAAGTTTGCAAATCCAACTAAGAGCTGCTACATTGGATGGAAATAGTTGATGCATTTTGATGGAGTGTTCTAATACCTTTTCCTTCAAGTTTTTTTTATTTATTAAAGTCAAGTAGCCTAGATAAAAGTTTTCTGGGATCGATGATGTTTCTGACAACATAGAGAGGCACTGTTCATACTAGAAATAATTCATAAAAAAATATATGATGATGTATCAACTATTAACTATTACTAACCATGTCCAGTGGTTTGTCTTCCTCAGAAAAAGATTCTAGAAGGCATGCAGCCAATTTTAAAATTTCTATTTTACCCCCAGAAGAACATTTTTGACTAATATCAATTAGAGTTTGGCTTATTTGTCTAATATCACCATTAACTTGAGATAATTTTTTTGAGTAATCTACAAGTTTTGATTCATCTCTGCAACAACAAATGCCAATTAATTTTTTAAAATCATCACTTTGAACATAACTGGGTTAAGAATATGAAATGTGGCATGCAACAATTTGATATACATTTTAACTATATATGTATATTCATAGCACCAATTAGCTTAGCCCAAGATTAAATTACGTTCAAAGTACTGGCACGATGTGCTTTACCTACGTTTCTATAGCCAAGTAAGATAAATAAGCTTTAACTAAATCTTCTTTAGCATCATCCTTATTTAATTTTTCAAAATAACTAATTAAGGCTTTCCAAGCAAAAGGATTTGTTGGGTTCAAATCTATCGCTTTTTTGAATGCTTTCGGGGCATTGTCTAGAGGTCCCACTTCTTGTAAAGCTAATCCCAAAAGTACTATTGCTGTGTAGTTGTTTCTATCTTCTTTGATGATTGACTGAAAAAAGAAAGTATACGTTGCGGCTTTGTTGTTCTAGTTTTAGTCAGCAATGGCTACAAACTTCAACAATCAACCAACATATATTATTTGGATCAATATGGATATTTATCAATAGGAGATACAACTGCAAACAAGAAAACCATCGAGATGTCCTTACTATTCCTCTCTAATCTAAAGAAACTATTGTGGGTGGTATTCAGGGTTTCTCTAAAGAAGATAAGCGGCACCTTGGGTGTAAATTCTAGAAAATGAGACCGAAAAAGATAAATATCGAAGTTCTTTTAAACTTACTGTATCCCAGAGCCATATAAAATAAATACATGTGCCCGAGATGTGCCCTGACTCTGACCCCTACCTTATAGGCTTGTTATTAACCATTAACCGAGCCATTATCTAAATCTTAAGCGCCAGTAAAGCACATCAGCAAACGTATAAAAGAGGTTCTTAATATGCTACATTTCAATATTTGTTCATCTTTATGCTCAAAATTTAAAGCCTTTATCTCAAAAATGGCAGAAGATAAGAAGATAAATCTATCTTCGATATACTTGTCTTAGAATTCAACATTTAATCTTGAAATCACAGAAAATTCAGGGTGCCCACGAGTTTTTGAGGGGTTCAAAATACAATGAATATCCCTGTACCTAATATAGTTATACAGGGTTATTCACTTTATTTTGACCCCCACCTGCAGCCTTTACCTTTACAGGTAGATGATAGGTGTAAATACAAAAATTGTGCAGTTTTTTTTTGTGCAGTACTTTCAACTTTTTTTCAAATAGAAAGCCCTAAGTATATTTGATTATACAGTACAAGCTCGGTAACGTAAACACGAAAAGTACAGACCTTTTTCTTTTCACATTACCGATTGTTTACATTATTGAAAGTCTCTTTTTTTTCTATTTAAATTAAACAAAAATTCAAACATATGATTATTATTTATCGGAAAGTTTGAAAAAAGTACACTAAACGCTAACTATAGGTCTGTTCTCACAGAAATTACAAAACAAGTCAGAGCGAATTTCATTGGAATCATTGGTTGAAAATAGTCAGAAAGCTGGTTGTTAGCGATTTGCACCAATCAAAAACGCTCTGACTGGTTTGTGATTTTTGTGAAAATATCTTCAATATCAAATAAATTTTTTGTGCCCACTGCAAAGATGGGAAGTGAGTTGATTTTTGTTTTTGTTGAGTTGTTTTTCTGCGGAACTGTATATAAAATATCCTGTGAGTACTTTCCAAATCTAATAGATCATCAAAAGAAAAGTTGCACAACCACTATCACGTGGTTGCTGGAAAATTCTCGTTCAGACACGCTAAAAAACAGCGACCCAATCAAATAAAACTTTCAATTCGCCAAAGTAATCCATTTGAAACATATTGATCTTGACATTGTCCAATAGTTCATATTATCAAGTGGCTTGCTGTTCGCGTTATAAAGTACCCAATATGCGAAGTATTGTGTTCACAAAACCGCGTTGTTCACTTATACGGGTGTTCATATTACAGAGCGTACTGTATATTCTTGAAGAGCCCAATTTTCCGATCCCAAAAACATATAGTTTGTCTATATTTGGTTGAGCCGTTTTCAACATATTTGGTTCTAAAAATTACAAAAATACTATCAGAGGATTCAGAGGAACCAAGTGCCTCAAATTTTACCTGCATTTTTCACCTTTACAGGTAGAATGGTTCACAAAAGGTCTGTTTTCAGTAATAGGCCAAGGACATTGATAATTGTCCGAAAAAGTTTTATAACAGATTTCGAAAGCTTGTTGCTTGAAAACAGACCGACGCGCTAGCGGAGGTCTGTTTTCTTTAAGCAACAAGCTTGAGGAAGTCGTTATAAAATTTTTGAGCATTTATCAATGTTCGAGGGTTATTCGGATAGAACACAAAACTTGGGTGATTTGTGTCACATGACAAGAAATAACACAATTTAACTGGCTGTTAGAACTGTCAAAAAATTTTCAGTAGTAATACCTAGTCCAAGGACATTGATAATTGTCCAAAAAAACACATTTCGAAAGCTTTCAAGCAACAAGCTTGAGAAAATTGTTGTAAAATTTTTGAGTATTTATTAATGTTCGAGGGTTATTCGGATAGATATTTTTTTGACAGCAATGTCCAAGGCAATGTCATGCAGTGAAAACAACCCTAGGGCTGTTTTCAGTATAATGTTGACATGATTGGATGATTTGTGTCACATGACAATAAATAGCAAAATTGAACTGGCTGTTAGAACTGTCAAAAAAATTTCACAGAAATCACAAACCAGTCAGAGCGAATTTCATTGGTTGAAAATAGTCAGGAAACTGGTTGTTAGCGATTTGGACCAATGAAAAACGCTCTGACTGGTTTGTGATTTCTGTGGAAATAGACCTAAAATCTAAGTCAGTAGAATAGTATTTTTACAATTTTTAGAGCCAAATATGTTGGAGACGGCTTAACCAAATATCTACAAACTATACAGTGTGATTTTTTAAGTGTGCAACATATGGGATTTTTTTTTAGTAGTAGCACAAGCCAAATACAAACAAGGCCAAAAGTTGGTGCATGTCTGATAATCATATTAGGTGCACTTAGAATGGTTGCGAGTCAAACAGCATACAGGGTAGCTCAAACAATATCAAAATTGTAGTAATATTTACTTAAAATAAAACTTTTGCACTTTAAGGAGAGTTTTTTTAATATGCATATTATCATCAGTAATGTTTCAACTTGTTAAAAAAAAATTCCCATATGTTGCACACTTAAAAAATCACACTGTATATTCTGGAATCGGAAAAATGTGCTCTTCAAGAATATAGAACCAAATATGGGGCATTCCATTTGAAAAAAGTTGAAAGTACGCAAAATTTCAAATTTCTGACAATAATTTTTTATTTCTGACAATGGCTTCTAAAAATTTAGCTAAAACTGCACAACTTTCAATGATTTATATGTACACCTATCATCTATCTGTAAAGGTGGAGGCTGCAAATGGGGGGATCAAAATATAGGGAATAACCTGGTTTTTTATTATGACGCATCTAAACAATGATCTCGACAATGATACTGACAACCAAAAAAGTGCAAATTGGCCCTAAACTACTGCTCAAAGAACTTTATTACAAAGCACATTTCAGCCAAAGTCATATGAAAAGCAAAGGCTAGGCCCCGGGCTAGGCGTTGGAGCTTTGCATTCTTCCCATTACCTATTCAATCTCAGACTGTTGGTTAAACCTCGGTTAAACCCATACATTGGCTCATATGAATGAAACAGGAGCATATGCTCTTACTTAAGTTTTTTGAGATAAACATATTCAGCTGTAATGCAGCAAAAAGAGATGAAGGTAGAGTAAAAGCATTTGCTATACTTTATTCATACGACTGATTTTCAAAGGCATCGAGCTCAAGGAAAAGTTATAGAACAGAGAGTATGCAAAACAAAGACCAGACGAAAACTATGCTGTATACAGGATTCAAAACAACAAACTGTAATCTATGATCGTAGAGGCAAGACGCAAATATGAAAAAAGAATGATGAACATTTTTTTTTCTTATATCAAAAATCAAGAGAAACCTGAACAGTCAACTTCATGATGTAGTGCTGAAAGGTCCAGTAAATCAGCAAATAATCGCTGACCCCAGAGAAACGGCCGAAGTTTTCGCCAATCAGTTTGAAAAAGTTTTTACCAGAGAATGCTTCCATAGCTTTTCCACGCTGCAGCACTAAAAACCCAGGTAAAAACCTATTCCAGTCTAGTATCCGACGGAATACCTGCCAATTTTCTAAAAAGATGTGCAGAATCTCCGCTTTTGGTAAAACTATTTAATGCTTCAATGACAGAAGGCATCTTGCCCCAAAATTGAAATCAAGCGATGATAGTCCCAATTTTCAAGAGCGGAGAGAACCACAATCAAACAAACTACTCAGACGTGCACACTTTTTAAAGCACTGGAAAAGATAATTGCGAGGATAATTGTAAAGGATGTCAGAAGATTTCTATTAGAACATTCTATCATTCCATCATCACAACACGGATTTCTGATTTCCACCACAAAGATCAACTACCACCAACTCTTAAGCTGTGTCAACAATTGGATCAAAGAAATTGATGAGGCTAACCCAGTGGATGAAGTATATCTGGACTTTCAAAAGGCATTTCACACTGTCCCACATGAAAGGTTCCTCTACAAACTAGACCACTACGGAATTAGAGGTTCCTACCATCATATTGTCTAAACCGCTAAAACTCATATTAAAATTGAACCACAACCAACTCAAATTATTAGGAAAAGAAATTTTTGGACTGCAAATTACGAAAATATCAACAGTCCTATAGAAGAAAAATCTCATAGTATTGGAATAGCAATAAAAAATTGAATAATATATTAACTAGTGCCATCAACAGTTTTATACCAACTAAATCGCTTAGAGTTAACCATAAAAAACCTTGGATAAATAAAAGAATTTTCAAAGAAATCGACAAGAAACGGAAGCTATGGGATAAATCGAGGGATAAATATATTAAAAACAAAAATGAACAAAATTATCAATAGTAATATAACTAGTGCGATGGAAATTATTGATAATTTTTGGGAAATTTGCTCGAATGCATTTTTAGTTGAAAAAGCCTTTTTCAGTTAAAAACGCATGAGTGCAAATTTGTCGAAAATTATAAATATATTTCCATTGCACGAGTTGTATTTAATGAGAGAATTTCATAAATCAAAAATTTAAATTTATTGTCAAAAAATGTCAAAACACCAGTTTTCGCACCAGTTTTCGCACCAGTTAGTATGCAATTATCTGATAATTTACACTAGTGCAAATTATCGCGTAGTTACAAACTGATTGGTTCAAATCAACAATCAAAACATGTCAATTTATTGTTGGAATACCAGTTTTGACAGATGCATGAAATTCTCGAATGTAATACCACAAGAGGTTTCAGGATTACCGGATAATACTTTTACCTGTCACGAAACGCGTTACGCAGCAACACCACGACTCCGAAGGAGGAGTGGTGTTGCTGGTAACGCGTTGAGTGTCAGGTAAAAGTATTAGGTAATCCTGAAAAATCGAGTGGTATTCAAAAGGTTATACAACGAATCAAACTTTAATTCTTTATTAATTAATAATTTCATGAATCAAAAATTTAAATTTTTTGTCAATAAATGTCAAAACACCAGTTACCGTGCAAAAGGATTATCACTTTTTAAGCCTCTTGTGTCATATGGTAAGGATTATCACTTATTAATCCTCTCGTGTCATATGGGAATAATGTACAGTGAGTTGTATAATCATATATATACCACTCATAATATGCTTAAAGATATGATTACAGCCAGAAGAAAATTTGAAAAAGAAATAGCAACATCAGAATCCACTAAGAGATTTTATAAATATATTAGCAGAAGTTTAAATTCCAGTATCTCACATATTTCTCTTCATTTAATAAAATCTTCAGTCATGTTGGAAGCCGTTTTACCTGCGATAAAAAAATTAAATGGAAAATATGACATAGAGGATCGATAGTTTGGCATTTCGACTTATCAGTGGATTTTTCAAAATAAATATAAAAAAATTATCCTCAATTCGACAGACTGCTTTAGAAACATACCCATTTTGCTTGACAAGGGTATTATGCCGAAACGACCCATGGGACCGGGCCCAAATTTGGGCTCAATAAAGCCTGTCTCATCTATTATGTATGTGTAAAAAATTTAAAAAGTTAGGAATTTTTTATGAAAATCTCTTTTTTTGGGGGAAAAAATCATTTCTCGAAGACTAAAAGACTTATAGGGTTGTATGATGGCTCATTTTAAAGCTTTTTCAATGCTCTAAAACCATTGCCACAGTAGCAAAACCATCCGTGCCTTAGTTTTCGAAATACAGTGAAATAAACAAAAAAAAGCCCCGTTCTTGCACTAAATATTGTTTATAAAATCCCCTAATAGTATATTGTGTATTTAGGTGGAAAAGTGACACATTCTCGGCCGACGGTGTAAGTTGACGGGCGGGGCGTAGTCGAGGCCGGCAAACACCGAAGGCCGAGAATGTGCTTTTCCACCGAAATACACATACTATTTTTTCTGCGATCGGTTAAATACCTGTTAAATGTTTGTCTTTTGGTTCCAATTCTTCAGCAGTACGAGAATCACTTTCCCGGCCTAGGCCGGAAAAGTGTTTCCCGTATTGTTATTCATTGATTCCTTAGCAACTATTGAACCATAATTAAAATACCAGAATATTAAGTTTTGCGACCTGTCAACCGGTCAAACATGCTGACATTTCTTGTCAATCGCAGAAAAAAGTAATTAGATGTTGCATTTTTGTTTTTTAGCATCTATAAATGATCCTTAACAATATTGCATCGATAGTTTGCTGTTAAATTTTATGTTAAAATATGGCTGTTATTTCGCCAAGTGCCTTGGCCTATAAGATTTTATTCGTTAGGATACTACATCGATCCCTACCAATACCGACAAAAACTTTTCAAACGCACCCCATTTCTATACTCCGGCGTCACTCCAACGTCAAATATTGGTTCGAGCGTGTTCGACGGGCACTCGGAGCACTATTAGTTATTCTTTGCTATAATTATGACATATACCTAGAGTGAGATGGAAATATATTGACTGATAGTTGATTTGAATCGGGAATTCACGCGGTAAAACAGGTATTAAATCGGTATCTGTGAATCACCTAGGATTCCCAAGTAAGTTTAAATTGTGATTTATGCGGGCAACAACGCAGGGCAGCACTCACAAAGGCAAAAAAGACATCATTTCATCCTTTATAAAAAATTTAAATTATTTTTCGGCGAAGTCCGGATTTCTTGACTCCTTTGTCCTGAATTCCGATAAACCTTTATGAAAACCCTATTCATGTGGGAAAAAGTAATCCAATGATGAGATAAATGGAATCATGCTAAATAGTGTTAACCAACAGAAAAATCTTGGAGTGTACATAAGCCAGGATCTGAAATGAGAAACATACATAGGGCAAGTTGTGAACAAAGCAAATCAGCTGGTGTATTTACTAGTCACAGCTTTTGGCAATCACTATATCCAAATGATCAAAAAACTGGACACAATCTACATAAGGCCCAAACTTGAGTTACACACACAGTCTGGAACCCATACTATGCCAAATATATGGAGCTGTTGGAGCGTGAACAAAAAAAAATTACAAAAATCCCAACTGAAACACTTGATCTATGAAATCAGGATCCAAAAATTCAACTTAACAACCTTAAAAGACAGAAGAGAAAGAGGCGAGGAAAGAGGCAACTTAATAGAGACCTATAAGATCCTGAGCGGAAACTACTGTCCAGAGCTGCATATTGTTCGTCGATTTTAATCTGATACTCGGACGGAATGTGAGCTGGTGGCTCCCTACATTAGAACGCCAATGGTTTCCTGACGTTACACCTGTTTTTGCCATATGAAACACCCCCTCGCTCCTCATTCCGCAAGTATCAGTTAAAAATCGACGGACAATATGTTAAACACGTCTCAAAAAAGTATAAACCAAAATGGGCACAACGGGTGCTTACCTTTGATAGCTTCAAAGCTTTTTGAAAATCCTTATTTTTCATAGCATTTTTTGCTTCCTTCAACAATGCTTTTGCATCCATGATATTGCAAAACTTCCTTTGGTCCAATTACACAGTTAAAAACTGTGCAACAAAATAAAAATAGTTTGTAGATGCCTTATTTTAGTTATAGAGCAAAGCACAAGTAGGAAACAAACACGAAAAGTCCAAAAATATGAAAGTTGAGGGTTGGGATTGAGGTTATGTATGTTTGTTTTGTTTTGTTTTGACGTTGGCTACGGCTACGAGGTTTTCGTATCTGCAAAATGCAAGACCTACTCCAAGCAAGCGGAATAGATCTGCTTTACCTAAAAAGAGGATAGCAGCGCTGTTGTCTCTCATAAAAATGAAAATATAACTATCAATAAAAATGCAGGTTCACTGTTCCGTAAATGATTGAGGTATGTTTGTTAGGAGGATGGGAGGAGTCCAAAGGTTTGTTTTTTGTGTTGCTCGGAGCAGCACTTCCTGCTTTGGGGCGTTCGTTTGTGTTATGGCAATGAACTGAACTGACGAACGTTATTTATGGTTAAAGCTGCCATAACTTGAAATATAAAATAACTCAGTTCAAGTTAGTGCGACACAAACCTCAGATACACAAACAAACAAACCTCAGAAGTGTATAGTTCAATTCAGAGCTGAACTGGTTCTGACTGAACTGAACTTTTGACGATTTCGATTTGACTGCAGTTTCGCCCTCAGTGCGAACTGCTCCGGAGCTGTGACGTAAAACGATTCCAGCCAGCTGATTGCTGAAAAAAAAAAACGTAACCTCACTATTTAGAGAAAAGATTTTAAATTTAGCAAATCCAAGTTTACTTTATTTTATTTATTATTAATTATTAATTCAATTCATAAAATGAGTGTTGCACGATTTTATAGCCTAGGATCTATTCAAAGAAGTCTAACATTGGGATTTGAATTGAATTTTCATAGAAGGAACTATGCAAAAGCTAGCACAAGTATGTTTGATGTTATTGTACTAATACCAATATTATTTTCCATAGGAAATGTTGTCCAAATAATTTCTGAACTAAGTAGGTACATACCTAACTATTCCCTATTTTTTGATTTTCAGGTGTTAGCATGTTAGGAATGAAAAAGAAAAAAGTCGGTGGCAAAGTCGGTCCCATGATAGAGAAAAAAATTCTTCCTGTTGAAACAGACCCAGAAAAATTAGTTAACTATTGTTGCGGTTCAAATATCTACAAAACGGGCGAGGATGTGAAACTGGCACCCGACAATGAATATCCAGACTGGTTGTGGACTATACGAACTGGCGAGCCAGTTCCTTTGGAAGAATTAGATCCCAATTCCAAGGACTATTGGCGTAGATTGAGACGGATGGCTATCAAAAAACAAAATCAATTGAAGAAGCTGAATAAATTTTAATTTGTACTTGATTATTATTTGTTGGTGACATCAAGGATTGGGTAATTGAGTGGCCAACTTCTTTTTATTTATATTTATAGAGACTGTTCAATAAAAATTGGTAATCAAACAAAATAAAAACAAAAATGTCTTACAATCTTTATACATAGTCATAATATAAATAATACAAGTTCAATCTTAACATCATAATGAAACATGTGCAACGTTAATCCACTCATAAGGGTGTAAAACCATCGTGTAAAACCAAACATCAATTTCATCAGGAATGTTGGGTACATTTTCATTCCATTTCCTCAGCAAGCATCTCTTGAACTTTTCAAAAAACCAAAATCAATCCTCCCATAAGTGGTGCCTGCATATACCTAAGAGATCCAATAGAAACATTTGATACATAGTTTTAGATGCTAAGATAATTCACATTATTATTCTCATTCAAATCTGAGTACACAGAGCTAGAACCTTCCATCATTTTGGTTAAGATTGGATATCAGGCTTGCGATAAATATTTTCTGGTGATTTTAGTTGGATCGAGAGTTGGGTGCTGGTATTGATAGTATTCTGCGAATAGAATAATTATTTTGGGATCGAAACAACTGAGTACATATCGGGCCAAAAATTGTCAGAGGTAATAGGCACTGGCTCTTTTGAATGATCGAATACCACTTTCTCAATTTTGTTTTAAAATTAACCAGTCAGGCAGTCCTTTAGCTTACAAACCAACATCTTTTTATTATACAGTTGCATAAAGTTTGTAGCTTAATTTTTAGGCCCGCCGCTAACAAAGCCTATGATAAAACTTTCTAATCCATAATCTTGGAGGTTTCTTTAATAAACTCCCAATTTACTAAAACAACCTTCTCATCAACTGGAAAAATTGAGTTTAAGCCTCGCACTTGCCAGAATTATTCGTTATCTCAACAGATCGGCCGTATCATTCATAAGGCGAGCTTTGTTCATTCGTCGCTGTCAGTACGAAGGGGCCTATCTCAATATTTGGCGAAAATGAGTTATTCCCATAAAAATACTTGAAAGAACCATATCTATGTTGTGACGAACTGGCATATCTCCTTATTACACCGTGTGGCCATTATTTAATTTTAGCGGCATATCTGTTTTGTCAACCAGCCAAACATTTGTTTTTTTTATTACCAACGGGCCTATCTTCTTAATAATTTATTTACAGAAAAAGTCCAATCTTTTCTTTCAAAAAAGATATGTCTCAATGTTCAAAGTATACTTTTGTGCTATATATGAAAAAACAAGTTCTGATGCTAGACAAAATGAACAGTAGAGTTTTCTTCAAAACGCTCTTCTGAAAAGTTGTTAAATCAGAGATTGGCCACTTCGTAATGACAGCGGCGATATTACCCATGTGGTCAAATATTTCTCAAAACGAGCGTAGTAGGTAAAGGTTTTGCCAGCGTTATTGTCGACATGCTGCAATTTTAAGTATGTATTCCTTCTGAAAAAAGGTTTCAACACAACACTTTATCGTAATAAAGTGGGTTACTTTCCAGCTGGGGCAACTTTGCTTAAAAAACTAAAAAATTATTTTCTGTAAATCTGGCCACGCTGCTCTAATGCAGTTGGTTGCAAAATACTACGCGATCAACAGGTTATATATGAAAATCACGTGAATAAAAATTTTATTTTGACCTCGTAAAATCATGTTGCTATATGCTAAGGGTTTTGTAATAAAAAAATTTAATGTAAAAAAATGAATTATGTTTATTAAAATATTTTTTTGAAACACATTAAAGGAAGGCAAAGTAACCCCAAAGTCGAGGTAACTTTGCTAACTTTTTAAACTTTTAAAAAATGTGGTTCTAATTTTTTTTAGCCTTCTAATTACAAAATTATGTAGCCAAAGTATCAAATTTTGCATATAAACTCCGCCAACTTCAACAAAACAAATATAGACGAAGTTAATACTACCCTTAACCATCACTTGCGAGCCATAAGATCAGAACCTATCGCTGAACAATCAATAGATAACTTTATGGACACGCTACAAACTGCAATACTGGATAATACGCCAAAGTATCAACGTAAATTCTACGGGCATGTTCTTCCTCCATTTATAATTAAAATGATAAAAGTGAAAAGAAAAATGTTCAGAGAATACTGTCAAAACAAAAGGCCGGAAATAAAAAGACACATAAACGAATACAACAAAAACATTCAAAATATGATCAAAGAATACAGAACAAGTAAATGGATTGAAGTTTGCGATGAAGTTAACGAACTAAAAGGAAGAAACTATTTCCAGAAAATCAAAAAATTGTCCAAATACAAGCCATCCTTCAACATACCCACTATCGAGGATAACGGAGAGTCATTCAACACAGATCAAGAAAAAGCAGGTGTGTTCAAGCGTCACTTTGAAAAGGTTTTCGAGTACAAGACACATCAGGAGTTCAACAAAGACCAAGAAACACTCATCAACAACTGGTATCAAGAATTCTTTACAGAATACTCTTATGAAAACTATGCTGTCAATCAAGAAGACTACTTTAATATCTTAACTAAACAGAAAAATACCTCTCCTGGTCATGATTCAATACCCTGGAATATTATCAAAAAGCTAGATTTAACTATACACAAACACATTATCAGGCTATTTGAATTCTGCTTGAGCAATAATCATTTTCCAACAGTGTGGAAAAAAGCCAAAATAACAATAATTAATGTCTATCAACTTAGCGAGACAACTTCGAAAAATCGATTTTCCATTATGCCAAGAATTTGCCGCTTTTTTGCCGCTAATTAAATGTGGAATTAAAAAATTTGCCGCTCTTTTGGTTTTTTTCTTAATTACGTGTTTTGCTAACTTGACGTCAAGATAGCGAGACAACATCACTAAATATGTCAGCACTAAAAAACTAGGTACGTGAAAATTTGCCGTTTTTTTGCCGCTAATTAGTTGTGAAAATCAAAAATTTGCCGGTTATTTTTTTTTTTTTCATAAAAAATAAAGTTTGAAAAAAAATCATTTGTTTCGCTAACTTGACGTCAAGTTAGCGAGACATTATCACCAAAAATGTCGGTAATGAAAAATTGAGTGAATGGGAATTTGCCGTTTTTTTGCCGCTAATTAGTTGTGAAAACCAAAAATTTGCCGCTTTTTTTTACAAAAAATCAAGTTGGAAAAAAAATCATGTGTTTCGCTCAAGTTAGCGACACAATATCACTAAAAATGTCGGTAGTGATGAGTTGAGTGAATGGAAATTTGCCGTTTTTTTGCCGCTAATTAGATGTGAAAACTAAAAATTTGCCGCTACCTTTCTTTTCATAAGAAAATCGTGTTCGAAAATAAAATAGTGTTTTCCTAATTTAACGTGAAGTTATCGAGATCACTAAAAATGTCGGTAGTGATGAATTGAGTGAGTGGAAATTTGCCGCTAATTATCTCTTTTTCTACAAGAAAATATCGCGTTTGAAAAAAATATCATGTATTTCGCTAACTTGACATCAAGTTAGCAAAACAGTAAACAGTATCAATAAAAATGTCGGTAGAAAATTTCATTCATCTGTCAAAACTGGTATTCGAACCATAAACTTGGCTCTGTGTCATTTGCGCGACAGTCGTTTGCGCGAGGGAGAAAAGCGCCATACTAAAAGCGCGAGGGACAAAAGCGCGACGGAACAAAAACTCGACTGCATAAAAGCGCGAGAAACAAAGGCGCGAGCGAGAAAAGCGTGAGAAACAAAAGCGCGAGGGACAAAAACGCGGGAGAAAAAGCGCGACGGAACAAAAACGCGACTGTAGTAAAGCACGATTGGACAACAACGCGAAGTATCTAACTATCTACGAGGACTGTAAACAAAAGAGGGACACATCAAATTGTATCAATAAAATTCAGAAAAATGCAGCCTTACTGAAACTAACCCATACTAACCTGTTCCCCTAGTGCGATCTAGTCTTCGTTAAATAGAATTTTATTTGAAAAACCAGGCGCGGTCAAGGGACCCTACGCTATAAATAAATTGACTGTTTTTTTGGATAAAATGCTAACTTATGAGTACTAGATCGCACTAGGCGGGCGGGTTATTTTGGGTTAGTTTGAGCAAGTCTGTATTTGCTTTATTATTATTGGTTCAAATTGATGTCGCAATACAGACTTACTCAAACTAACCCAAAATAACCCGTCCACCTAGTACGATCTAGTCCTCGTAAGCATTTTATTTAAAAAAACAAAGTTAAATCACTGATTGATTGCTCAGGGTCTCTTGAGAGCGCAGTGCTTTTTAAATAAAATGCTAACTCACGAGGACGAGATTGCCCTAGACGGACGGGTTAGTTTGGGTTAGTTTGAGTAAGTCTACATAATTTTGATATTGGAACAATTTGATGTTTCCCTCTTTTGCTTAGAGGTCGTCGTTGTAAATGTCGCTCTTTTAATTTTTCACTGTTCTAAATCTCGTTCTTTACATATGTCGCTCTTTTGATATGTTGCTGTTTTTTTTAGATGTCGCTATTTTGAATAGCGCTGTTCCAAATGTCGCTATTTTGATATATCGCTTTAACAATATGTCGCCTTTTTGATGTTGCTATTTTAAATATCGTTCTTTTGAACCGGAGCCACCGAAAATATCTTGTATTTTGGAAAACGATGTCCAGTTCTCGTAGTAAGGCACTTAACGTTCTTGGCCAATCGCGCTTTATCCAGTCGCGATTTTGTTCTGTCGCGCTTTTGTCCCCTCGCGCTTTTGCTTCTAGCGCTTTTATCCAGTCGCGTTTTTGCGCGCCGTGATTTTGTCCCTCGCGCTTTTCGTATCGCGCTTTTCTCCCTCGCGCAAACGGTTGTCGCGCAAACGGTTGTCGCGCAAATGACACAGATCCCATGCATAAACTGGCATTTTTTAATTGTTGATTTCAACCAATCAGATTACGATTACGTGATAATTTGTACTACACCTTTTCCATAAGTATTTCAGAATGTATCACTTGTATTTCAGATTCATCAATTCTAGTTCAGAATGCGTCAGTTGTATTGCAGTTGTGTAAGTTTAATTTCAGAAAGTGTTATTTGTATTTCAACTGTGTCAGTTGTAGTTCAGAAAACGTCATTTGTATTCTAGTTTGGTCAGTTGTATTTCAGAAAAAGTAATTTGTATTTCATTTTGGTCACTTGTATTTCAGAAAACGT